CTTACGCTGCTTTCCCGATGATTCTCAAGCATTTATCTTCCCATTGATCGCCTTGTTTGATCACTGGTGAGTTTCGTGCAGCAGGTAGTTGAAGTTCTATGAGTATTTGTCGCAATGAACTATGATTATCCGTGAGTTTGTCTAGCTGTTCGTTCAACGTTCGTCGATGCTCTTGGAGATGTGACAAGCAGAATTCTTTTCGACATCCGCGACAAGTGAACGTGTCTCTTTCTTTGCGACATAATGAACAAAAACCTCGATGACTTGCCTTCTTCATTAGTTCGAGTCGTCTGGAAATGAAATGAAATTTTGCAACACGTGTGCCGTCGAAAACAAAAATAACTTCTTTTCTTCAGAGAGATGACGACGCTTGTCAACGAATGGCATCGTGTATAGAGATGGCGTCACTTTCCCCTTTGCAGATACATGGAATCATATGAGTATGATTGCTAGTTTACATTTATACTTGTGGAGAAGTTTATTCGAAATTAGTTTGAACTTGAAATCATCAAATCTTTTTAAAACAAAGTAAATCGACTGTTAGTAGATCTAAATAATATAAATGTCAGATTCGTGTTTATGATGTAAACAATTGATTGAAGAAAAGTTCTTAAGGTTGATACAGTTCAGCAGTATTCAAAACGGCACCATTATATCCTCCGGCGACTAATACTTTTCCATTTGCTAAGAGAGATGCTGTGTGGAGATATCGGGCAGCATTCAGACTGGCAGTGCTTGTCCACAATCCTGTTGATGGGTCATACAGCTCAGCAGTAGTCAATGTAGCACCGTTAATTCCTCCAGACACCAATACTTTTCCAGTTGCTAAGATCGTAGCCGTGTGGGAATATCGACCAATATTTAGACTACCAGTGTTTGTCCACAATCCTGTAGATGGGTCATACAGCTCAGCACTGGTCAAAATAAAACCTCCATTATTTCCTCCAGCAACTAAAACTTTTCCATTTGTTAAGATGGTCGCTGTATGACTAAAACGACCAGTATTGAGACTACCAGTGTTTGTCCACGATCCTGTGGATGGATCATACAGCTCAGCATTGATCAAAACACCGCCATTATATCCCCCAACAGCTAATACTTTTCCATTTGTCAAAATAGTTGCCGTATGTTGATATCGACCAGTATTCAAACTACTAATGATTGTCCATACTCCTGTTGATGGATCATACAGCTCAGTACTGGTAAGAACAGCACCACCATTATACCCTCCAGCAACTAATACTCTTCCATTTGCTAACACAGACGCTGTATGCTGGTATCGAGCAGTATTCATACTACTAATCATCGCCCATCCTCCCGTTGATGGATCATACAATTCAGCATTAGCCAAAAAGCTATAATACCAACCACCAACAAGCAATACTTTTCCATTTGATAATAACGATGCCGTATGTAGATATCGAGGAGTATTTAGACTACCAGTAGTCGTCCATACTCCTGTTGATGCATCATACAATTGAGCATTAGACAAAGCTCCAGCACTGGATCCTCCAGGAACTAAAACTTTTCCATTTACTAATGTCGACGCTGTCTGTAGGCTTCGACCAATAGACAGACTATCCGTGATCGTCCACACTATATACACATAAATTATACTGAGATTTCGTTTTTAAACTAGCAGTCATAAATGAAAAACAATTCGAAANATAATTATATAACCATCTTTTATCTTGCAAATAACCATTAATCCAACAGAAATCTTCTTCACAATCAAGCGGCAGATCGTTCATTAAACGTTGTCCATAACTTCCAACAGCATAAAGATGTTTAGGATACTCAGGATCCATACAATATCGTATTAATGCTTTCGTACAATTAATCCACGGTCGAAAATATTCTATTGGTTGACCATATGCCGTATCACATGCCAGATGATGAACTGATTTAACAGTTTGTTTATATTTATCGAGAATTGGTTTGATTGAATCATGATTATTGACAAGATCAATAGTAACAACTTCGACTTTTGATTTTACTTCTGGAATATCAAGAGAAATTTTGAATGCATTTGCTTGTGATTGAATAGTTCGCCAAAATGCATCATGATCGTTATGTCTGGTAACACATATTATTTGATCAATATTTTCCTGACGTATCAAATTAGAGAATAAATGAATACCAAGATAACCTGTGGAACCAGTTAAAACAACTGATCGTACCATCTAAAAGAGCAAAATCATATATGTATTGTATTGTTTTAATTCGAAACTATTTAGTCTAAGACGTCGTTAATAGGATTAATCGTCGATATACTTGTATAAGTTCAAATATTGTTTTGCTTAAACTTTTCACTAAAATGATATTTTGATGGTAAATAATGTTGTAAAAATTAAACGTACTTTAAATATTATTCATTTTAATAAAAAGAAACAACAATAATATATTATTGAAGGACGCAATATCGGTTACCGTGACCGAGATGTATTTTGTAGAGAATAACAAGTCGAAAAGGCGCCCCCTCAATGATAAAACATCAGAATTTGTTTTCAAAATTCATTTATTTAAACCAGAACTTATGATGAATAAATCACTTCTTTTACAGAGAAGTATCGATTTTCTTTTCAAATATATAACATAAAATAGTTGGTTTTATCTCTAAATAAATTTATCGAATAGACATGGGATCGATGTCAAATAAAACATCTAAAATAATAAGAAAAGTACCTGCAATTATTAAAAGAAATAAGCGATAATTATATTCATTAAATAAATGTCAATGAAATTATTTTGGATACAAAAATACGAGGTTAATGTGAAGGAGATGCTAACGATCGGCACGTTCTTTCAATTTTTTTTTCTTCTTCTTTAATCATAATCATCGATGCATGAAGTAAGTAAAGATACATTGTATGAAACGAATAAAAAATTGCATATGGATATAAACTTATCAATAGGCATGACTGACGAAGGTTTTTCATGTTGTTGTTTGTTATTTATCAAAGAATCAAAGTATATGAAAGATAAAATACGATCGAATGAGAATTTCTGTTTTGATTGATTATAATGTCATTTGTTTTTGTTATGTTTTTTTTTTCTTGCAAACATAATTGTTCATTTCTCAATCGATATGATAAAATCTCTTGGATAAGTTTGAGTTATAGCATAAGAAAGATCTTCGATATCAATAAACACATTCGCACGAAAGATATGAAGATTGTATTTGTACATCTCGGAAATCTAATAAAAGATAGTTAATGATTTAAGATCTTTCTTTTGTATTTTAACTACATATTTTTACATTTATTTCTGATAAAGATTTTAGACAAAGTGTTAGTGTCATCATCAATCGAAAAATAGATAGATAATTCTTCATTTTTAGTTATACAATCGTTGAATGTTATTGTAGTAAAAAATAGATAAAGAAAAATAGTAGAAGGTTATATGAAGGAGACTGAATTGTAAATATTTGATTTATACTCAGTATCTATCTCATAATTTTGACATGTTTGGATAGAATGATTCATTTCTTAATATAAATGAGAAGGCAAATATATCTTGTAAATACTTTTCTTTCATTAGAAAGCCAAGAGCGACCACATGTTTCATTTGATTATTCTTTTTTTCTTTCTTTCTTTCCTTCCTTGCATTACCTTTAAAAAAAAGTGAGAAAATGTACAATCATTCAACCGTTTATCATTGAATAGATCAATATTGACAGACGACGTACACGAAAATATTTGATATTATTCATGTTTATACGAAATGAATGATAAAGAACCATTGGTGAAGAAAACTTTTGATCAATTTAATAATGAAAATTCTGATGAAGAAAACAAACAGAAACAAGAATTCTTAAGTAACAGGTACGATAAAGTTACTAACGATCGTAATGATTTCTTTTTTCGTCATTAAATGCGAACAAAACAAAAACAAATAAAACGTGTCAATATTCGCCTTTCTATTGGAAAGAAAAAAGGTTAAACTAAACTTTTCTTTCATATTAATTCATTTCGAAAATTCTTCCAATGATAATTTTTCAAATAGATTAATAAGAAAAATATAATTTCTTTTCTTTTTGCTCTAGTTTTTCTGATTGGCATCACTGGTTTGACAAAAGAACAGTTGATAAACAAAATGGAAATATCAATAATGACACAAATACAAAATACAAAAATGATATGGTCAATGTTATTGATTTAGTAAATCTATTTTCTCATAGAAGATACATTAATTAACATATTTAATATGATTTTAGTTTCGTTTTGCTGATCGTATTGATTATATATTAATGTTTATTGGTATATGTTTTCTATTAATAATGGCTGCTGGTGTTGCAATTACTCAAGTTACTTTTGGTCAATTAATCGGATTATTTGCTGAAGTTAAACTTCGAGAAAATTGTCATCGTCATCGACAAACTTTTAGTATTTATAATTCAAGTAACTATGTATGTCCACCTGGTATAAATATCAATTCAATATCATATGTAGAACTTCAAGCGTAAATTTTACGATTTGAGAAGATTTCTATAAAGAAAGTTGTTTTTAGATTGTGTTATTATAATAATGTTACTGTGATATCTTCATCAGATGTATTTTTATTGTCATTTCGAAAGAAAGTAATGGGTCCAATATATCGATTGATAAGTATGTTAATAATTAATATTCATATATGAAATAATCTATGATTTACTTTTTATGTATTATTGAAGTTGTTGGTATTATTGAATTCATCTGTACTATAATTTTATTTATTTGTTGGACAGTTTCACTAAAAAGACAAACATATCGGATGAGTATTCGTCTGTTTCAATCACTTCTTCAACGGGTATTTTTCAGATATTTTCATATGAAAAAATCTTAAACGTTCTCATTTGAACTTCTTCTTTGTTTATATGTTTTTTAGAACATTTCATATTTGGATAAAGTTGCAATTGGTAATATCAATTCCAAGTTGTTTGAGTGAGTTATTTCATATAAAATAATTTGATAGAAATCAATTGTTTATATAGTAATATACGAAAGATTGATAGTGGTGCTGGTTATGAATTTTTATTCGTAGTCGGAGTCATATTTTGCATTGTCCTAGACATAGTAGCGTCATTTATTGTTAATTGGAAATTAGCATTAGTAATGTTGTGCATTTTACCTATAATTATGATGACATCAATGATATTTTCAAAAGTATGAGAAATTATTATAACAAAAGAAAAAAGATTTATAAAAATCTCTAATAGATTATTTCTAATGAGGAAATGAATGTATTGAATTCGTATTCAAAAGCTGGACAAATTGCTGAAGAAGTATTTAGTTCACTTCGAACAGTTCTCTCACTCAATGGTTCGAAATTTGAACAAAATCGGTATAAAAAATTTACTTTAAACTAATTTCTTTGAATATTTATGAAATTGTTTATTTAGTTATGAAAATGAATTACATTCTACTACTCGAAATAGTATTCGACAGGGTGCTGTTTTTGGATTATTTGCTGGTTGGTTATCATTTAGTACATATTTAATTTATTCAATTGGATTTATTTTTGGATCTATTTTCATCTTTTATCGTAATAATGAAGAAGCCGATTTAGTTGAAATTACTATTGTAAGTATTCTCTTGAACGATATATATAATATACGTTGATTTTTCTCGATTGTCTGTAATTATGAGAATCAATTGTTTTTTTTTTCTTCTATAGGTTCTCTGTGTGTTTGCACAATCTATGACTCTTTTCAGTTTTATTGGACCTTTTCTTCAAACAGTTTCGGAAGCTCGAAGTGCAGCAGTACCAATATATCGCCTTATTGAGGCCGTATGTCATACGAAATTTCTTTCATTTTATTGAATATTTTCAATTTAATTCGTTTTCATGATATAGGAAAATGATATGGGTATAAATGAAACAGAAATATGGAATGAGAGTGTAACCAGTAAAAAGCTTATTAATACTAATATTGATATTAAATTTGATAATGTTAATTTTATTTATTCATCGCGAAAGGACATATCTGTATTAAATAATCTTAGTTTTATCGCTCGTGCTGGTCAAACGACTGCTATTGTAGGTCCAAGTGGTTGCGGTAAGTCAATTGTATTCGATAGACATCTTGTTAATAATATTTCTTTTTAGGAAAAAGTACATGCTTATCACTTCTTCTACGATACTATGAACCATCGTCAGGACGTATTTTAATTAATGGTCAATCGATTAAAGGATATGATCTCAAACAACTTCGACAAACAATCGGAGTTGTTAATCAGGAACCTGTAAGTTAAGACTTCTTTTGTTTGTTTTCATTCACTTCTTGTAGATACTTTTTTCTACGAGTATTGTGGAAAATATTCGCTTTGGCAAAGAAAATGCTACAATGGCAGAAATTGAAGAAGCAGCACGACAAGCAAATGCACATACTTTCATCATGCAATTGCCTAATGTTTGTCGATGGAATTTAAATTTATTGATTCATATGCATCACTTGATTTCTTGTTTAGAAATATGAAACACTCGTAGGTGAACGAGGTGTACAACTAAGTGGCGGTGAAAAACAACGTATTGCTTTAGCTCGTGCTTTGATTAAACAGCCGGCTATACTTCTATTGGACGAAGCAACTAGTGCACTTGATAATATTAATGAAAAACTCGTACAAGAAGCACTTGACAGAGCCTATCAAGGTATTTATACACATAACAAGAGACAGATATTGATATATTTTGTTAAATTTAGGCCGTACAACTATAGTCATTGCTCATCGTCTAAGTACAATTCAAAATGCTGATCATATTTATGTATTAGATAATGGAAGTGTTATTGAAGAAGGTACTCATGAAATATTAATGGCGAAAGAAGGAAGTAAATATCAAGAAATGATAAAAAATCAACAAGTAGAAAAACTGGATAATAGTGAAGATGATTTATATCGAGGAACAAAAGTAGAGGAAGGAGTTAATCGAGAAATCAGTACGTTGCAATTTGATTATCATTTGTTTGTCTTCTATTTCTACATTTTAATACTTGCGTAGATAGAAATTCTTTTCCATCAAATTATAAACAACCTTTAGATACAGACAAAGTAAAAAAATTCACATAGGGTTTGATAAATGGAAAGTTAATTAATAATTTCTTTGTTTTGAAGGAAGAGCAAAATCTTTTGAATGAAAGATCTATCATTATGAGACTTTTGTCAATGAACCGTCCAGAATTATTTTATCTTGTCATTGGTTCAATAGCAAGTATATTGAACGGGATAGCTGTACTATTCTTTGCGTTTCTCGTTGCGCGCACAATCTATGTAATGTTACAAAGATTATTCGAATTGATTCTTTCTCTATTGATTTGTTTTCTAGCAATTTGCTATCTGTGAGTATTTGGAACGACGTCACAGAATACTGACCGCTAGTTTCATACTTGCATCAATGGGTCTTTTGGTCTGGATATTTCGTTTTGTTCAAGTAAATATATTACTTATCAATATTCTACTTGAAGTCGTTCCTTTGTAGTACACAGCGTTTGCCATATCAGGATCGAAATTGACTCATCGTGTCCGTTCCACAGCATTTCGATGTTTTCTACGACAAGAAGTTGCCTACTTTGATCGTCCAGAAAATAGCACTGGTGCCATATGTGGTCGTCTCTTTGCAGATGCATCAGCAGTACAGCAGATGAGCGGCACAAGATTAGGACTTATTTTTGAAACTGTCGCATTGATTTTTTTTGGTCTTTTATCTGGCATGTTGTTAAGTTGGCAATTGACACTAATTGCATTGTCTCCTCTACTTCTTCTCATTCCTGCTATGTACATGAGTGTACGTGNTGCCATATGTGGTCGTCTCTTTGCAGATGCATCAGCAGTACAGCAGATGAGCGGCACAAGATTAGGACTTATTTTTGAAACTGTCGCATTGATTTTTTTTGGTCTTTTATCTGGCATGTTGTTAAGTTGGCAATTGACACTAATTGCATTGTCTCCTCTACTTCTTCTCATTCCTGCTATGTACATGAGTGTACGTGTAGAAATGTGGTTGAATAGATTATGTGATCACGCTCGTGGACAAGCGAATATGGTAAGATCAATCAATTGTTTGTTTGATATAATGAATATTGCACAATTATTCTTCTGCTATTATCTTAATAGATTGCAGTAGAAGCTATTCACAATATGCGCACAGTTAAACATTTATCTGCTGAACGAATCATTTTGAATAAATATTCCGAACATATGACTGCCATAATCACGTTAGTTTATATCATATAAAAATGAAAATTTCTTGAATTTCATCTTACTTTTTTTTACAGATTATACCGAAAATATTCGATAATATTCACAATACCATATGGTTTATTATGGGTAATAGATTCAATCACAACGGCATTTCTATATTTGTATGCTCTTATTCGTTTTGAACGGAATCAATTCACCTTCAATGATATCATAGTGTAACCATAACATTAGTTAGATAATCTAACGACACTCTATTATAATGTATTTACTCTTTTTTTAGAATCATTGCATTTGTTGTTTTCGTGATGCAAGCAGTGCGAAGTGTAGAATCTATGTAAGAAAAAGAATCGATTTTTAATTAAGATATCAGTTCAATACGACACTACAGGTCCAAGCAAATTGGTACTTCTCTATCTTCGATTAAAACTCTTCTGGATCTATTTGATCGAACACCAACTATCGATAATACATCAATTGAAGGAGCCACGCTGGTAAGAAAATAGACAGATTTGTTTAATTCGTATATTAACACGTTGTTATTTTGATAATATATACATATAGGTTCATTTTGGTGGACAGATCGAGTTCAATCAAGTGAAATTCTCTTATCCTACACGTCCAACAATTACTGTTCTTAATCAATTTCAATTGAAGATTGAGCCAGGTAAAAACATGATTCTAATTTAGTCTATTTTCTGTGCTCTTTATTTAGGTCAACGTCTAGCAATTGTTGGTAAGCTTAAACTAATTGTTTCTTATCGTTTAATATAAATGTGATACATGCGAATCAATAGGCGCTTCCGGTTCTGGAAAATCGACTGTTACCCATCTATTAGAACGATTCTACGATGTTGAATCTGGCCAATTGGTTAGTATGTTTCTCTAAAAGAATCTTTCTGTCATTAAAAAAAAGGAATTTTGTTTTTATCAGTTGTCTTGATTTATTCGATGACGATTGAAAATAATCTATTAATTACATTTAGCTCTTTGACGGTATTGATATTCGACAGTTGAATATTCTATGGATTCGTTCTCAGTTGGGTCTTGTTGGTCAAGAGCCAGTGTTATTCAATTTAACAATTGCAGAAAATATCGCTTATGGANAGCCGCTAAACCTCTACTGAATGGATAGTATTAGAGCGCTACTATTCGTCCAAAGAGAGAAAAAAGTTGTTTCAGTTACACGATCTGATCATTTGATAGTTTGTCAGAATGTTTCACTTGGATCAATTTCGCTTCCTGAAATCTTCTGAAATTATAACGCCTATTCGTTTGTCGGCCTCTCTCCGGTCAACCACTCACCGCTAGCCGTCGCTACCTAATAAGTGTTTAATGATATTTTCATATTAAAAAGTACCTCGTTCTTGTCGAGTCCGTCTCTAGCAAAGTTGCCGAAATTCTTCACAACTTCATGACCTACAGTATATCTTTTATTATCATTTTCAGTTGAATAAGTCGATGATCTACATAGTTTTTTCTTGAAGCTCGAAAAGATGTCATATATATATATATATATACCTTAGAAAAATTATGGACACTTGGCGACGGTCTTATAAATCTCACTTTTCAACTAATTTTCAAAAGAAACAACTAGTCGTCCGTCGGCCTCCCTTCGGTCGGCCACTCACGGCTAGCTGTTCCCATGCGTACTCATTTTACTATCTTAACTTCATTTGGACGAAGACGCGTTCCGAAAATGAGCATATTTCGGAAAATCAATTCATCATCAAAAACTTAGAAGCTTTACATAGCTATATGATTCTCTGGAAAAGGTTTCAATCTTCTCTCCATCACGAGGAACCTTAAATAGCTGCCAGCTATATTCGTGCAGAGCAACGATTAATTTCTGACCAGGAAATCTTAAAGCTCTATAAAAATCATAAAATTCGTTCTTGAAAATATTATTCTGCAAATCGACGACTAGTCGCTCGTCGGCCTCCCTCCGGTCGGTCACTCGCGGTTAGCCGTTAGATGCGCATTTTCACTCTTCCATTTAGTCTAGAACCGATTTTGAAACTAATCCATTCATTCTTCTCTATTCCTTCTTTAAAAGTCACCCTCTTTGTGCTACTGTGACTGTCGAAGACAACATCTGACAATCGAAACAGTATTTTGAATGACTGGCATCAGATGATATTCGTATAGTATAGCTGTTTATAAAAGTGTGTGACTTCATTAATATACTGATAACTATGGAGATCCAGCGATCGGACGTCAGTCAGCTATAACATTTTGTTCTAGATATTGCCACTTAAAACATTATCGTCTAAAAAATTGATCCTTTGTCGCAAAAAACGGGTCAGAAAGTGTTCATGAAAAAACTAACACCGGATTCGAGATCCTCGACCTCGATTACCCTTCGGTCAACCCTTACCCTGCATACTAATAATTTATGGCTAGTTGATAGCTAATTAATTAATAGTTAATAATTAGTTAAATCTAACCTCAGATTCAAGTTCCCCGACCTCGATTACCCTACCGGTATTCATTTTCTAAGAACGATCGATCAATTTCATTGATTTTAAAAATGCTGATTTCTGATTGGATAGGACAGACAAACTTTAAGCTTTTTAGCACAGCATTTAAACGCTGTATAACCCTTTCTTTCAGAAAAGGGAACATCCTCACCTCTGTCTATGACCAAATATCAGCTGAAAAGGGACCGGACAGTTGGCATCACTACCTCGCAACTATCAATTCAATTTAATTAATGATTTTAATACAAATTCTGACAAGTTGTTTCGTGCTAAATGTAAAATAAAAAATTCTAATCAGATACAATAACATTTTGTATCGTCAAATTCTTCATCCATTCCATAATCACTACATTTGTCATCATGTTGCGAATCAACAACCATAATCCATCTGAGAATTTGCGTTTCATCGTAAACACAAAATTCATCTCGCCGATCATTTTCATGATTATAGTAAACTGTATCAAATTCCGGATGCCATGTGTCAGTATTTCGCACTGTACTCAGTTCATTAATAGTCACTTCTTTCACCTTACCCATACGAATTTCAGCAGCAATGATTGCACCGTGAAAACGTGCTTTACCAATTGTATTATTTATTGAACGCGCAAAATAGATTCCATATCCAAGCATCTGTGGTGGTTTGTCCGATCGATGAAAGTCGCTGTGTGCAATAGCAGCAGCAGCATGAGCACTTGTGCGATGAAAACCAATATACGTGTCAGACGATGGATTTGATCTTTTCAATTCTGACCAGCGTGGTTGGGGTTGATAGTCACTGGAATGAAATATTACAATATGTTCAAGTTCACGATTATTACACGGATCATTTGTACACAACGTGTCACCATGTTGGCCTGTACGTTGGTTGGCTAACAGCGAATAAGGTAAATATCGTTTATGCTTGATTGAAAAGGTTGTATTGGGCAGTATGATTTCTTGTTCAAGTCTGACAAACTTTGGTTTATAGTGCCACCATATACGATAATGATAATAATCCAAAATAGAATTCAATAGTAGAAAAATGAAGGATATGCCAACAACCACGGCAAGACTTTTCGTAGTTATATGATGTGGTATAACCAAACAGAATATTATAGTTGCAATACGAATTAATGAAACGGCTATGAGAAATGCAAATTGCATTTGAAAACGTAGCTTAGGACGCGCACGATAACATGGACAATTACAATTAAATGAAAAAAATCGGTGTGTCGCTTTGGCTTTCAGCAATGAACAACATAATTCACGACAAGATTTGAGACAACAAAGACAGGGAATCCAACCAAACACAAATAATAAAGGCAGAAGAACAGTGAATAAAATCAGTGCACGAATCCCACCTATAGCGAATAGAAGCAAAACAATAAGTCGATTTTCTACACTGACTATTTCCCAATCTAGATTTTCAGTGCCAGGATGCTCATTCTTGAAAAACAATTCAGGCATATAAGCAACAACAAGCAGAAACAGCACGACGGTCGTCAGACACTCTAATAAAGCGATAATCGCATGAAAATAAAATAGTGAACGGTAGCAGCAAGAATGACAAGTCATCTCTTTGTTCTATAAAACATGTGCGTTTTCTATTTGATATATCATAACCATCTAAGAACGCGTTTACGTAGGCATTTTTTTAATATTTAAAGATAATAGTATCGCCATAGATAACAATAGTCTTAAGAAAATTTTTTTCATGACTTCTTCGGGGAAAAAATGCGCATAATGAATTGAGTTTATTTTCGCTTATCTTATCAACGAGAATGTTTTTTGCATTTTTTCCAACTTTTATATTACTGTATTTACAAAGGACAATAAACAGATTTTCTTCCATTTTTAACGTATTACATGACCAGTGTGCACAATTCGGAAGGGGAAGATGGGAATTTTCCCACCAAAAGTTTTCTATCCTTGCTTTCTGCCCAATAAATTATTTTACTCCTGAGAGAGAAAGAGAGATCTAATATAAAGCATAATTTTCACTAGTTTCTGGAGGCTTTATCCCATCTCCCCAAGCAGACAAAGGTTGTCCGAAACGTGTTTTCACATTGAAAAAAAGACCATTTTTGAATGTAGGCACATGTGAGAATAGGAGAGTGATGTCATAATCCCGTTACACCCGGTATTCATCCAAAAGCAGACAATTCGCTACGTTACCATATGCAGCTGAGTCGGTGTATCCATCTCGATACCCATGCCTGTGGGGTGTTGGGAACCTGACGAATGTGAGTGGATTTCGTGTGTCCAGACACTTCCCATACCCTCGAGATGAAGGGTTGGGGTGGCTAGGAGTGGTGTCCGAAGGCAGTTGAAATGGCTAGAGTGTTCCAACTTTTATGCAACTGCAACTGATCTTAGGAGTAATAGAAGGACGACAAATAATCGTATGTAGTACCGTAGCTAAATACACTAAAAGCGAAAAATAGAGATATCAAAAGATACATTAGCTAAAATCACCTGCGTCAAATGTGATCATAATCCATTGAGTTAAACCTTTTAAATATATGGGAATTTGAGAAAGACAAAGAAATAAAACTTCTACGAGGAAGTGAGGATTATTGTTGGTGTTCGTGGTAAATTTAGATTAATGTTAAAAATATTCTTCTGTAGTTGAGTGTTTGTTCCAGTTGGATTCATAAATCGGAGTTAGAGTCGCTTGTTCGCGGAGTTGCCTGTTTCTGGATGTAATAGCGAGTGGTCTCGTGGTAGTGAAGTTGATGGGCTGAAGTATGTAGATGAGGGTGAGGATGCTTGGAAAGTGACACTGACTTAGAGTAGACTAACATTGATGTTTGACGTTCTCTATTTTTGACTCCTGTGTATGCTTGGTGGCGCATTTGATATGCTGTGTACGGTTGTGATGTTGTTCGATTGAAGTGGCTCTAGTGCTTATTGTATTGCGTCTTCGTTTCTTTCTTCTTATGGCGTATTGCATTGGTAGTATAAAATTGAAGTTTTTACGTGCCTCTCCAAAAAGAGTAGGAAAAATTGAGCACTTTGTTTTCGAAAGTTACTAAATATATCTGCGCAAAAGATTTGAATTATTTCTTCGTGTATGAAATTGTTGAATCAATTTGTCCCACAATTGGGACACGAAAAAAATATCTGTCCTTCACAGTTGAGGGTTAAGTGAGTCGGCACGGCGAACGCTGCTTGTTACATATCGAGCCATTTACAACACCATGTCAATTACACTGCACTCGGTCGGCTCACTATCGTCTATTACACACACCACACAGATTATATCAGCTAATATCTACTCAACAGCTTCAACCGAAAGCTATCAGATTCAGATCATGCCTGATGATGAACCCTTAATCAAGGTTCGAACGCGTCGTATGATACTTTGAATCCGTTCCATGAATATCTCACACCCACCCATCCCACCACACATCAACACCCACACCCACCCCCCTTACACACCCTCGGGACGGAAAAAACTCGAATATGGTGCTATCTTTTCCTATGTTTCATGAATGTGGTACGGCTAGGAGAAGAGCCTTGATAAGCAAATGAGCACAAAATCACGAAAAGCACGAAGAGAAGACACGTCTCATCTTAATTCATAGTAAAATGCGTGTGTAATGTGAGCACTCACGAGTGTCTCATGAATAAATGTAGAAACAAGAAGAAGCGAGTATGTTAGATGTTATGAAAGTCAAATGGTTGCAGTGGCCGGCGCCATGGACATCAGCAGTATGAGTGACTTGTTCGTGGCGATCACTTTGCTCTCATGAAGGCGGCGAACACTGATGTGCGTGCGATTCTTGTTCGCCAGCGCTGAATGGCCTCGATGAAGTCATTCATGTACGATTGTGAAGGAACGATGAAGACAACGAAAATCGACATGGGCGGCGCAAAGGAGATGAAGTAGCCAATCACATAGAGACGCGCATTGCGTGGCGATTTCATGCATTCGGATAGGAATGAGATGATCAGACGAGGCACGGCTAAGATCGCCAAGATGGTTGGTGAAATGAGCAGATGCTTGTGTTGTTTAATCTGTTCGCGTAGAATCTCTTTGTTTGATTGCTTTTTATCGACTTTTGATCGACGACGAGCGGCAGCGATGATGACGATCAACGCGCAAAAGCAATTGACCGCGAGAGGAACGAAGAAATGCAAGGCATTGACTACTCGATCGAACACTTGGATGGATGGTGTGTACTGTGCGATGCAGAACGTGCGCGACTCTTCTTCATCGTCGACCAGACCGCGATGCAAAGGATCATGGATGTGTGTACCGACGGTGAAGAGCATGACGAGTAGAATGACCCATTTCGCGGTACGTTTACTCTTGGCTTTGTCGAATGCTACTCCTTGAACAATCGTCACTGCTCGTTCGATCGCCACACAAGCACTGAGCCAGTCGCTACAGCTGAGCAGAACACGAAGAAGAAAGTCTAGACAGCGACACTGACCACTGAGACTAGTACGGTTACGAAGAGTGCCGATCTGTGAGGCGATCAGTATGGCGAACTTGATGATTAGGACGTTGATCATGATGAGTGAAATCACTGATGAAGCAAAAAGATACAGACCACAGCCGGTGCTGGACGCGGTCTTCGTGCGGACGGTGATCATCGAAAACACACTGCTGAGGAATCCCACGGCGAACATCAACGTAGTCAGGACGATGGTCAGTTTGACAATATACTTTTGATTGTCGAGTTTGACGTGCGGTCGAATTTGATAGCCAAATATGAGGTCCAAGGAAAGCGAAAATCCGTGAGTGGGAAGGTGACATCGCGAACCGACGTAACAATCTTGACAGACGCAGAACGACGACATTGGACAGAGTGGACCATTTTGTAGGCATTGACCGGCATTTTCACACGGCGAATGTCCACGGCAATCGTACGTCATGTTGTAATCGAACTTGATGCAGTTCGCTCGTCCCGAAGGCTCACAGATGCAGAAATGTTCGGAGTCATGAAAGCAGTGCAACGCGGACTGTTGCAGACATGGCAGATGATAGAGTTTGATACGCTTGATGATGTGTTGATTGACAATGGTCGTGTTGAACAATTCGTCGATCGGTGGACAACGAAGGTCAGGCAGAATCATAACCGATCGATGTACGAAAGGTGCAGGATCACTTTGGAGAAGTAGAAGGTAATATTGCTGCGATAGTTGGGCAATGGCGAGATAAAACATTTCTGAGTTATACACCGCCACCATGTCGGAGTCAAATGGAACTTTTCTTAGCGTTGTCGTTCGCTGTTTATCGAGTTCGTCTCGCACGTTGATGAAATGAACAAACAACGACGACGGAATGGCGATCTTCCGGTGAAATGACACGTCAAGACGCATTTGTTGATGTTCGCAGAACTCCCCAAAGAATCCATCTGGACAAACACATGTGACTTTCTTGCTGTCCCGTCGGTAGCGCACATCGTTTAAGACGCATTGACCACCGTTTCGACACGATCTCGTTTCACACAACGATTGCGTGAGGAAACAATGTGGACCAAATCGATTTGGTGGACACACACAGATCGAATCACCGACACACAACGAGTCCGATGCACAATCACATTGTGATTTCGTGTCGCATCGCACTCCTGACCAGCCCGGATGACATTGACAAAACGAAACACTGGGTGAGTTCGCATAGATGAGACACTGACCATGTTCACATGAAGGTTCACACGGCTGAAGAGCAAAGATTTGGATGACAGGAACTTTGAGTAGAGCGGCTAGGCGATATACCGGGAGAAAAGCGAATCGAAGTGGAAAAATCCAACTGGCTCGGTGAGTCATCGTCATCCTGTTGAACCCATCGATTCGTACAGAATAATTCTTCAGCGAAGACTTCGGTCGACTGGCAAAGAGAAGATTTAAATTGACCTTATCATTACAATCTCGAATAGGGAGGTAATCGATGAAGTCATGTGATTCGATCGTTCCATCATTATCATCGATCAGTTTGACGGTGAATGTGAACACACTTTGCCAGTCCGATGCGACGCGTATTTGAATAGTCAGACTGACACGTTGGTTTTGATACTGACATCGATCTCCGTAGTAACTCGGTGAACACAAACAGGCGTCGTCATCCGAACCGTTGTCCATGCGGATGCGAATGCGAAGTCCACGATGACAATGACGATGCTTGACGATTTTCGTACTCAACGAGAATTCTTCGTTTCGTGGTGCAGATGGGACTTCGAAATTGGTCAACGACAATCTGTGCGTCGTCGCGTTCTCCAATCGGAAATTGAATTGTGGTATACGTGGACGTGTTCGAGTCCACGCGCAAAAAAAATTTTCTACGTCGTTGCGCTTGCTTGCATCTAACTTACACAACGTAGAAGAATAATCGACACCCGGGACAGTCGAAGCACAAAAGTTCTCGTCATCACCAAGTGGACATTTTCTGGCCGTATTACAGAAGTGTATCGCATCAATACACTCGGTGCTGTTCAGACAACGAAAATCGAATCTGTAAGCATGCGACCAACCGTCGCTCGTAAAACAATCTTTTTGCTCGTCTGATCCGCCGAGACAATCAACCGTTCCATCACCCGCTCGACTTAGCGGTAAACATCCGATTCGAGTGGTGTTATTGGGAAAGACACACGCGTGTTGCAAACCAGGACAGATGGAATCGGGACAGTTCACCTCATCGGCACCATTCGCACACATCCACCAGCCATCGCATCGGGTGTAGACGTTGTTACATGGCCAGAATTCGCATCCTGTCTCATCAGTTTCTTCACGTCCATCGACAACAATTGGATTCAACTCTGGAGTTCCATCGCACATTATTTGAAAAGTGAGCTGATCTTGTGTCACTTCTGTGGGCGGTTCGTAATACTCGGACATCTTACGCTTACAGGTTCTATCGACACCGAAATCGACATCGGTAGGATCGAATGGGACGTGGCACTTCGTTTTATTGTTGTCCACGCACGAGAAACGATGTCGAGCATCGTTGAGGGAACAACTGTGTTCATACATTTCATCGTCATTTCCCGGACAATCGCAAATTCCATCGACAAGACGATGCTTTGAAATGCATTTCGTGGAATTCAAACATCGATACATCGCCGTTTCATTGCACATCGAGCTTTCGTTGGGCATCACTGCGCATTCGCTGAAGAATCTCCGAAGGCTTGGCAATGCCAGATCTAATCGATTGGGGTCGATGCGTAACTGTTCTACACGTAGACAAGTCGAACCGTTGAAGCGTTCGATCGGTAACTGAAAATGTCCGCAAAGTCTCTCGTCGTAACAAATCAGCTCCAGTCGGGGTCTTGTACCGCGTTCACCGCTGTTTGCTAACATGATATAAACATGTTGAAATAGAATAGGTCGATCGAGAAAACTGTACAATGGTGGACAATCATCATTGGTGAGATGCGTGAAATCCACACCAGCATATAAACACCGAGTGTTATTCGCATCTTCGTCGAGATTCCACGAGCATATGATATAGATCGAACAGAGATCGTTCAACCTGGGGTAATCTCGGCCATTTGCGCATTGAAGCACATTGTGGGCGCACTGCCCGTCACCACATGGGAAAAACATCATCGATCCCGGTATACATGACGTTTCTTCGCAACCGAAATGGAGATACACATCGCAAATACCAGACGTAAATTTGGGCTCATCGGTTGTATCTGCACAGTCGGGATCACTTGCATCGTCGTTGAAAAATTCTTCGGGAATGCATTGTCCGTTGTGACATCGGTACTCATTCTCTTCACATTCATTCATTTCCAGTTGCCAGCAGTGAATTTCATCCGATCCATCGTCACAATCCATCGCCCGATCGCAGATATTTCGCCAATCGAGGCAAAGCCACGAAGTCTTGCATTGCAAATGTGTGTAACATGTAAATGTAGGTTCGTCTAGATCCTTGATTGTCGCTCGTCCGCTGTTCAATAAGATGAGGTGCCCCCACGAAAGATCCCCATCGAGATCGAATGAAAATCGACATGAAGATCCGAACCAGCCTTTCGAACAGTTATAAAATAAAGGCTCCTCTTTCGATGGAGAAGAAATCTTGTTCAAAAACATGTCGTATCGTTCGGCGAGATCAATCGTGGCTGACCACGAGAGTAACATTTCACTACTGATGTTATTCTGTCGTAATTGGGCGAACGTGTAGCTGTGATCGATTGTATTGTTGTAAGGAGACAGTTTCAACGATGAATTTGTTCGTAAACAAAATGCGATGATCTGCTTTGCCTGAATGCGCTCGACGTGGTACATGAGACAATATCGGTCGGTGTATCTATTATCATCAGTGTTGTACATGTTGAGTGAAAGCTGATACAACGAAACACGTACGGAGTACAGAACGGATACATACAGCAGCAATAGTTTCATTCGGAGCATCTCGTCGGTGATGGAGAGCGTGTTTGACTGTGCGTATTAAAATCATATTCTCAATATTAGCACAACGATGCTGATGACGTGCTCTTCGATATTTGAATTCTTATTCTATTTGTCTCACGACACTCGACGTGCTTAGACATGCATCAAATTGGACGGTAAAGAAATGCATTGATCAATAAATATAAGAAGAGAGCAGTAATAAAAAACTGGCTAAACAGTAGTTCATTTAAACTAACAGTCAATATTACATAGGGATGGCAACGTGTACGTTTTTCTTTTCTTCTACTATACGTATATTTCTTCCCTTTCTCGTATTGGAGATTTTCAACCATTTTCGTCTGTTCGTAATTTTCCATTGTATTTCATATTAATTCCAACACCTTTTGGGTTTACCCTGTTGTAATGACAAACTGGTTGAGTAGCTGACCGCTTCTCACGGTGTAGATGTTTATTGACTACTCTACATGACCAGAATGTATCTCTTTCACAATAAGAC